AAGTAAGCAAATATAAATCTGACATTTAATTAAATTCTATGTAAATGCCTCTAAGGATAATCCATTATTCAATAACAGTGAAATAATAATGACGATTGGAAAATCTAAAACGGTCGAAACATTCTTAAAAACTGCGGCTAAAAAATTAAAATTTCAAGTAGTGGTTGCTGAAACTTCGCCAACGTAAAGTCTGTTCTCAAGTGTTGTAATGTATATCGATGTTTCTTAAATTTTTGTCATTTATCATTATTTTGGTGTTCTTTTTCTTCTATAATATTGCTATTATTTTTATCATGTGATTTGTTTCACACAATATTCAAATACTAAACACCAATAGCTATAGCGGTCATGAAATGGCTTTATCCCTTTCTCAAGCTGGTATTGATACAACAGTAATTACGGATTCAGCTATATTTGCTGTCATGTCCAGAGTAAATAAAGTTATATTAGGAATTCATGCTGGTAAGTTAATTAAACTTGGTAAATTATATACAATTTTTTGATCAATGATTTATTCCTTTTCTTCGCATTTATAATAATATAGTCTTGGCAAATGGCGGGCTTATAGCCGTAAGTGGCACACAAATGGTCGCATCCGCAGCAAAACATCATTCAACCCCTGTAGTTGTTTGCACCGGACTATACAAATTATCCCCTTTATATCCATATGACGTAGATTCATTTAACGATTTAGTAGCACCAGATTCAGTCTTGAATTTCGATCAAGGTAAAAACAAAGCAGTTAGACTATTTTCAATTTCTCAAAGTAAATACTTTCTCTAAACAATAGTCACCATATTACAGGCGAGTTAGTAGATAATATTACCTTATTGAATCCTTACTATGATTACGTTACGCCAGAACACGTCGATTTATTTATTACAAATACGTGAGTCATTTTGTTATTTGTTCGATTTTATGAATTATCCTTATTTCCTTATTTAAAAATTAAAATTGAATTCTTTCATTTTATAGTGGAGGGCATCCGCCTTCCTATTTATATCGTCTAATCAATGAAAATTACGATCCCGAAGATACTGTAGTATAATTTTTATTAATGACTAAGGAATTTTATTAGTCTAATAATATACAAGTTATCATTTTTTTCAAATGCATTCATTATGGAAATTTATTAAATATGACTATAATTAGGATTTGAATTATTTAAAGTTTGCCATTTTGTTTTGAAATTCGTGCTCACGTAATATCTGGTCTTGCGATTATATTAGCTAAAAACAAATCATTTTATGTTAATTTGAATATCTAAGTACCAATAGCAATATAAATTATCAAATATGGTAATTAACAAAAGTATTTGATATGTAATAATGCAAATTAATTTTCATATATAAAATTTCAGTAATAAATTATTTTTAAAGTTATTATAATAAGTATTCTTACCTGATAAGATTAAGTACAAGTAAATATAAAATTACTTATTTAAATATAATTAAATCTTTCTATAATTATCATGTTTGAAAAAATAAAATTGAATAATTAAAGACTATAAAGAGATTTTTTTAATTATACTTAATAACTGAAAAACTTAAAAAAGATAACTATAAAAAAAATAAGAGATTTAATTATAATAAAAAAAGTTAAACTACAAAAATTACAGAATTATAAATAAAAAAATCTTCAAAATTTATATTTATTACTATTATAATATAGTTAAATCTTTTTATAATTATATCTTTTTATAATTATATTTTTAAAGTTTTTTAATTATTAATTAGTTAGTTATAATTAAAAAAATCTCTTTATAATTACATCTTTTTATAATTATTTAATTTACTTTTTCAAGTATAATAATTATAAAATGATCTGATTATAATAAAAAAATTTAAGAAATTATATTATTAGAATTAATTTTTAAATTAATTCAAAATATTATTCAAATATTTATATAATTAAATAATTTTTTTCAAAGAAACTTGAATAAGTTATAAATTATTCAGATTATTTAAAAGTAATCTTATATATTATATATAAGAAATTAAAAGAAAATAAAATATAAAATAAAAAAAATATAGTTTAATACAAA